AGACGAATCTGATTTTCGAATGTATTATTATGTACTTCAAATTATACGAGCCTAGTTTCTCAAACCGATACTCTCCCTCTTGGAACGATCCTGGGTCGGTAGTAACGTCGGATGCATTTGGCAGAGAAATGCAGTAAATAAAAATAAGGGATTATAGAGGCACAAAAATATAATAGAATGTTCAATGTGGAAAAAAGAATCGACATCCCAGCACTCGGGACACTCCCATAGGCGCTCTGCCCCTATCATCAGCAGCAAGTGAAGAGTTCCTATTCTGAGGGCACCAGTAACCGTCTGATTGTATATCCGTGTCGCCTTTCCATTGAGTGTTGAGCGTCGGCCAGATCCCCTGGTAACTCCTCGCTGCGCCATTCTCCTCAGACCGTAATAATCTATCTGTGCACTGTTCACTCGCCCCCAAACGGCCCTTATAGCATTTAGCAAGTTATGCATCAGTTCACCACCAAGTGTTGCAGAACCGGCAAAACTATCTGGTTACTCGTTTCCCAACAGACATGGACATGGAGAAATAAATCAAAAGGACGCCAACTACCCGGAAACTCTGAAGTGATGCTTGCCACTCTGCAGAGCCTGCCTGTCTCCACCTTTCTTAACATGCTCTGTGAGTCAGTTACGATTACCACATGTGTGTACAGCTGATTCTCAAGCCAGCGGAAGGCAGTAGTGACAGCCTCCACCTCCATTCTTAAACTAGACGTCGTGATATTAGAAACATAGAAAGGCAGCAAATACTTTTAAAGAGAAACAAAACAAATCCAGTTGTGACTATTTTATCTGTTCTAAAGATAGTTAAATTCGTGCTGAATAATTTGGTAAATGTGTGACCGCATAGGTATGATTGTGAGGATGTTGTGAGGGCCCGTTGGGAGCAAGTGGACAGTGCTGAGGCACAGATAGATCATTACGGTCTGAGGAGAATGGCAGTGCGAGGAGTTACAAGGGGATCTGGCCGACGCTCGACACTCGGGGGAGTGGCGAGACGGATATACAATTAGACATTTACTGGTAACATCGGAATTGGAACTCTTCGCTTGCTTCTGAAGATGAGGACGTGGCGCTTATAGGGTTGTCCCGAGTGCTGTGATATCGAGTCTTAATTCAACATTCAAAAACATTCAGGTATGATTGTACGATGTACCTATTTTGTTTTTAATTAAAAAAGAAAGGATTAGCAGCACATGAATACTTTGTGAATCAATGTTTTAAATGTTTTTTTTTTCTTTATCAATGTAGGACACCTATTAAATCTACTAAAGTTTCAGCTTATACAAAGTTTCAAGCATTACATTAAGTCACAAAAAAGCCTACACTTTTCACGTATAAATGCATTTTGTTTGGAAAGATGAAAGTATCAACTGGCAAGTTTGCAGTCTGTTTTAGCTGGCCAGTCACAGATACGATTCTGATGGTTCCATGCAGTACCTCGTCCACAAATATGATGGAAGGCAACACTCCAGACACACTGGTAGAACATTCGACAGTCTTGTGAGTCCGTGTAGATGCCAAACGTTGTAGGACACGAGAACTGACCTGTAAAATTTACAACACCGAATTTATATACGTATTACATACTATAGTGTTAAAAAAAGCATATATGTTCAGAAGTGTTTTCCTGTAAGAGAGAGAGAGAGAGAGAGAGAGAGAGAGAGAGAGAGAGAGAGAGAGAGAGAGAGAGAGAGAGAGAGAGAGAGAGAGAGAGAGAGAGAGAGAGAGAGAGAGAGAGTTACTGAAAGAAACATAATTTTGGCATTTATTTGACATTCAAAATCTTTTAAATTTAATTAGTGAAATTTTTCACTCTGCAAATTAGAACACCTTAAGGTTTCAAGCAGTCAGCTGGCAGTTCCTTTGCATTTGGGTCATGGGTAGTTTTTAGGCCTGAGGTCTTTCCCATCAGCTAATATAAACGCGTCATTGGATAACTATGCGTCTCTCTCTCTCTCTCTCTCTCTCTCTCTCTCTCTGAATATGAATGCATCATCGGCAATCTATTGTGTGTGTATGTGTGTGTGTGTGTGTGTGTGTGTGTGTGTGTGTGTGTGTGTGTGTGTGTGGAGAATAAAGAAATGCTTAAAAAAAAGAGACATGTATGGACGACTAATTGTTTTAACAGGTATATGACAAAATGACAAAGTCGAGGGCAAAATGTTGGGCATATTATGACGAGAAGCAGACAAAGAATTACAAAACAGGCACTGAAACGAGAAACAAAGAGACTGAGGAAACAAAAACGTCCAAGAGAAACTATAAGATAAACGTTGTTGTTAGAGGCCAAAGCTTCTGGGCTGAATTCTATGCGTGATATCTCAATGACTGAGCAGGACAGGATGGAATGGGGGGGGGGGGGGGGGGGGGGGGGGGGGAGGTGGAAGCATACGAGCACCGTTACATTCAGTTTTCCGATTTCTTTTTTTCTCTAGCCCACCTCAGCCCTCCCCTCCTTGAGTATCTTTTTGCCGCTAGGTATTTTAACAGAGGATAGATAGCCCAACTAGGGCACGCTCGGTTGCTTGATATATTGGATGTTGTGACGTTTTAGGCTGTCAGTAACTCCTTCAGTCCATATTTGTTTATGCTCTCTCTCTCTCTCTCTCTCTCTCTCTCTCTCTCTCTCTCTCTCTCTCTCTGCCTATCGGTGTTTCTGTTCATATACTGGGTCATTCTCCCCAGGAGGTCGAACCATTTCAGTCCTTGTTTCTCTGTGAAATTAAACAATGCATATTGTTGAAATATAGTTTTTCTGATAGATTGATTCATTTGTCACACAATCTCTTATGGTTGTGTTCGCAACATCTAATTTCACAGGCATTTAGATTTTCTCTCTTATTCTTTAGAAAAGGCAAACTGTTTTTCTCTCTTTACTGATTGCGAAATGCTTCATGATTCAAATCCACATAGGGCCACAGAAAAGACGATTAGAAATAATTTGTTCCTAATTTGTTTGTCAGTGTGTTAAAAGGCCTCTAATTCCAACCCTTACCCCCCCCTCCCCCCTCCTTTCTCTCCCCCCCCCCCCAATCCTGCTATGCCAATCGATTTTTGATTTTTCCATAACAATTTTGTAACACTTTCATTTCCTTCATTATTGAGTGCAATTTTGATTAACGGTTGCTCATAGATGAATACCCCATTGGAAGCATAACCAGGTAATTTAAAAACAAAAATCTTGAAACAATTCTAATGCTCCGACATAGATGGAAGTAATGCCATGTTGGAATGCTACTTACTTCCGCTTGGTGCTTTTCCCAGCAGACGACTGGGTGTTAGGGTCTGTTGCTCTGGTTCTGTGTTGTAGTTTTCCTGTTCATTGACTTTATTGGAGCCGATTTCGTTAATAGGATTTTCTAGAAGCTCTTTTTGATATCTGTTACTCTGGATTGAAAAAATAAATGTGCTAAGCGTTGTTAATTGAGTGAAGTAAATAGCACCAATAACGACACTGTGCAAATAGAATAAACGTTGAGATGATAGTCATGGGCAATGAAAACAGGTCTCAGAAAAACCATCTTTAGCCCTCTGAGTTAAGGTATTTGGGAAGGGGGGTCCAAGTAACAAGAAATTACAGTTCGCAACCAGACAATACGTATGGAGCTTGAAACCCAAGCCTTACAAACTCGAGTTGGTCCGTCACAGTTACGACGGATTGTACATGAACGCAGAATCTATCTATCTATCTATCTATCTATCTATCTATCTATCTATCTATCTATCTATCTATCTATCTATCTATCTATCTATCTATCTATCTATCTATCTATCTATCTATCTATCTATCTATCTATCTATCTATCTATCTATCTATCTATCTATCTATCTATCTATCTATCTATCTATCTATCTATCTATCTATCTATCTATCTATCTATCTATCTATCTATCTATCTATCTATCTATCTATCTATCTATCTATCTATCTATCTATCTATCTATCTATCTATCTATCTATCTATCTATCTATCTATCTATCTATCTATCTATCTATCTATCTATCTATCTATCTATCTATCTATCTATCTCTATCTATCTATCTATCTATCTATCTATCTATCTATCTATCTATCTATCTATCTATCTATCTATCTATCTATCTATCTATCTATCTATCTATCTATCTATCTATCTATCTATCTATCTATCTATCTATCTATCTATCTATCTATCTATCTATCTATCTATCTATCTATCTATCTATCTATCTATCTATCTATCTATCTATCTATCTATCTATCTATCTATCTATCTATCTATCGATCTATCTATCTATCTATCTATCTATCTATCTATCTATCTATCTATCTATCTATCTATCTATCTATCTATCTATCTATCTATCTATCTATCTATCTATCTATCTATCTATCTATCTATCTATCTATCTATCTGTCTATCTGTCTATCTGTCTATCTGTCTATCTGTCTATCTGTCTATCTATCTATCTATCTATCTATCTATCTATCTATCTATCTATCTATCTATCTATCTATCTATCTATCTATCTATCTATCTATCTATCTGTCTGTCTGTCTGTCTGTCTGTCTGTCTGTCTGTCTGTCTGTCTGTCTGTCTGTCTGTCTGTCTGTCTGTCTGTCTGTCTGTCTGTCTGTCTGTCAGCTAGTCTGTCTGCCTATCTGTCTATCTGTCTGTCTGTCTGTCTGTCTGTCTGTCTGTCTGTCTGTCTGTCTGTCTGTCTGTCTGTCTGTCTGTCTGTCTGTCTGTCTGTCTGTCTGTCTGCGTGTATCTGTGTGTGTCGGTGCGTCCCTCCGTCCATATGTATGTATGTATGTCTGTCAGTCTGCCTGTCGGTGGGTCCGTCCGTTCATATGTCTGTCTGTCTATATGTCCATCTTTCTGTCTATGTAACTGTCTGCCTACTGTCTTTATGCCTATCTTTCTGCCTACCTGTCTGTCTATCATTTCGTTTGTTATCTATATGTCTGCCTGTCTGCGTGTCTATCTATCTAGTCAAAACTTACTGTGTTCTATAGAATTACACAGTCAACAAGGAACAGAAAATACGATAGCGAAAGATGAGGGAAAGAAAGTTTGTTATCTACAGTTAAAGTCTGATCTATCTCTTCCCTTACCTGAAGCAGGACATCGTCGTGTCTGGAGTCCGCATTGATGAAATCCTGGCTTGCCCTTGAAGCCAGTGAAGTGTTAAGACTATCGCCGATAGCACTGTCTGGTCGCCCTGTATCGCTTTCTGCAGATTTCACCAGGATTTCTTTATCTTGGCTGTTTCCATAACCCAGGTCCTGGCCGGCGATGCTGTGTATTGTGTATACTTGGTCTTGATTGTCTTTGTCCTTTATTTTATCTGATTTGGTTTTAGTTACAGTTTCGTAACTCATATCTTTCGTGTTTTCTTTGTCGATTTGTTTAACGCTGTCCTCGGTCTGTTCCCTAGTTGGAGGTTTATTGGTCTCAGTTAGCTCCACTGATTGTTCACTCCTCCATTGGTGGCCACGATTGCTTAACCGTTTTCTGCCTTTCTTGAAGTTGAGTTTTACAATATTTTTGTCGTCATTCTTTGGTGGCGATACATTCAGTGCTTCCTTTGTTGATTCCTCATCTAAGAGATTGTCGATATTTACAATAGACTGCTGAATGTGCTCTTTATCCAACGGTTGAAGCTCTTTCACAATTAGTGCAATTGTATTTGCCAAAGGGCGTAAATCCTCGGCATCTAAAGACTTGCCCATAGCTTCATTTATCATTTTGTTTTCAGAAAGACTTTTAATCTTTGTCGCATCTTCGTGGACAATGTCGGACTCTTTGCCGTTTAATAATGGTTCTGTATTGAAGTTTGTTATATTTTCAACCTTATCGTCGTTGCTTTTGTTTGTTGCCTCGTCGTTGTCCTTTTCCGTCCCTTTCTCCCACCAAAAAGAGGGTGATTTTGATGGGACCGGCATCTCTGATAGGCTGTTCTGAATGCTTCTGTTATGCCAGCTGGGCGTTTTGGTTTTCTCTGTCTGGTCTGAATTCTCGGAATGTACACTGGCAGCATATTTGGAGATTTTAGATGTTTCAAGTGGAGTTTGCTTGAAAGACTGATTATCTGCAGGGTTAATGATGTTGTTGTCTTGAGAAAGGTTATTCTTTGAAATGGACAGACCTGAAGGTTCTAGATGAATGCTTCCTTCAGAGTTTGCAAGCTCCTGTGTCGTCTTCAACTCTGACCCAGGGACAGGATCAAAATATTTTGAAGCAGTGTCTTTGGTTTGATCGTTGGATATGTCAGTTTGTTTTGTATCTTCTTTGGGTCGCTCATACCAGAGGGTTGTTGGCTGTCGACTAGATTTCTCTGTTTCAGAAGTGACGGGAGCTCTAGTACTATTGGTGCTCGACAAACTAGACATTTTTTCGTGTATCTCATCTAGTTTAGACTTGATTTCGGACACAACTGTCGAATTCTGTAATAGTTTCTGAATTTCGATCCAGTCCTCATCTTCTTCGTTTGGCTTGGTTGGTTCATTATCTAAATCATTCGCTTTATCTGTGGGATGATTGTTTCTGTCATCTTTATGGTAACGCATGATGTTTGGGTGAGGTTTAAATGGGGATTTTGAAAGACGGGAATGATAAACCTCAGGTATAGGTTCGGGATCAATACTTGTAGGCGGTTTAATGTTACTATCAAGAGGTTCGCTTCTCTCTGTCGCACTGTGAACTTCAGTGTCCGTTAATTCTCCATGAATTTTAGTAGTATGTTTTTGCGATGAATTATCTTGTAACAAATTCAAATCTGGCGTTTCACTGAGACTCAAAGACAGCACAGTATTTGTGTTAGATTTGGATGATTTGATGTTATCTTCGTTATTCATGGCTGAAAACCCCGTTGTTGTGGATTCTTCGTTTGCATCGCCTTTTGTAGAATTTAACGAATGCTTGGTAACTTTATCAGCTAAGTTATTTTGACTGGCATAATTATGGTTTTCGGGAGTCTTTTCAAAGGAATGACCTGCTTTCATGGGATCCCCAGAGATCCACCGAAGCCTTGATTTGGGGGTTGTACTTTCTGAACCCGATTCTGCCTTGTTTAATGAATGATCAGCCGACGGTTTTGTTCCCAGAGACGTGTGTGGTGTCTTGTTGGCCTGGAGTTTGTTCTGTGTAGAAGTTACATCGGGGGTTGTTTGTCTTTCTTGTGCAAATTCATATATTGCTGACTTTTGGTTCCTGTCTTTTCCTTGAGTCTTGTTATCAAGTGCAGTTTTCAAGTTGTCACTAGAGGTTTGGAAATCAATGGAATCTTGTGTCCCAATACTGATCTTCACTGGGATATCAAACTCAGCTGTCGACTTCGCTGCGTTGTACCATTTTGTGGCAACTTTTGTATTATCCTGTCTATTGAGATTGTCCGCTGTAGATTTATACCTTTCAAATCCTTTCTCTTGTACACCGCTCGCTTTAGGAATTTGCTCTGTCTGATGTATGTCATCATCATTTTCTAAGGAAGACTTCAACCGTTTAGCTTGTCCTTTCAGCCGTTTCTGTTGATTCTGCTGTTGTGTGTGTACTTTTTCTTGAATCGGTGTTGCCTGTTTGCTGTTGCTATATATCCCTTGATGTGTACCGCTCGTCTTTCTATCGTCGTATTGGGGGAATTTTTTTAACGCGTTTGTGTCCGCATCCGAACTGTATTTTCTTGCATCAGACGTATCTGATGACAATTTATACTTTAACGCAGTTGAAAGTTCGGCTTTTGGTCTGTAGTTACGATTCTCCGTTATTCTGTAATTTCCGAGAGTTGTCAATTCCGTCGTGAATGTCGACAGAGAGGTTTCTTGATCCTCAGATGTGGCTGGAATTATATGCTTATTATCTACTCCAGCTGAAATATCAGTTAACTGGTAGACTTTGTCGGCTCCAGAAGTAGTCTCCGAAACTGTTTTTTCGATGCGATTCCCTCTGTCCCCAAGTCTATAACGTGCTTTGACGATGTTGTTTTCCCTATCTCTTAGTCTAGAGCGTGTTTTGGTGATGCCATTGTCCCTATCTCCAAGTCTAGAGCGTGTTTTGGTGATGCCATTGTCCCTTTCTTCAAGTCTAGATTGTGTTTTATCGATGCTGTTTTCCTTATTCTCTAATCCGGAACTGCTGTTAAATGCAACTTCCTGGGAATCGGTGTCCATATTTATGAAAGGCATGGCATGGAAGAGGCTAATCCTTGGCTTGGTTACTCCGGGAGAGTATAAACTGTTGGCTTTCAGCAAAGACTGGTCGTTCTTCAGGTTTGAAGACATCAACCCTTTACGAAGAAGTTTCGTGCCGGCTTGCCCCTGCCTGAAAGATGTGAAATAGTGTGGTCTGCGGGTTTTGTCGCCGTTACCGACATCCGTTGGGTTGGGTTGTTTGCCTTCTGCTGAAACATTCGAGAGGTGTCCACTAAAGGCTTGACGAGGTTTGTGATTTAGAAATTTCTGTTTTGTGTATTTTGTATATACCTCTTTCATTTCGTTTTGCTTCTTCATTTCACGCTGCCGCCGCAATTGTTCCTGCTTCTGTGAATTTGTCTTTGTAGATACTGTTGCAGCAAACGGGACAGCATTTTTATTATAATTTTTCTCGTTGTTTTCATCTACTGGAGGTTTATACTTTGCACCGATAGTGGACTTATTAACTTTTGTCTGTGTGATTCCAGCACTGTTCTCCAACTTCTCTTTCTTCGATAGATTTTCAGTTGTCATTTGACCTGCGCTTAATGACTGGCCAAAACTTCCGTGAATCTTTCGGGGTTTGCCTCGAATTCGATTGGAAATCAGGTTCTTGGGCAAACTGGAGTTGTCTGCTCTTTGCTGGTTTGATTTCGCAGGCAAAGTTTCAGGTTTTGCCGTTTCTGTGACGAGATTCGATCGAAGCGGCACTGCCATCGGATGTTTCAGTAGTTGTTCTTGGGTGTCCAGAGTCATGAGCGGCTTAATGAGGATGTTTCTTTCGTTCTGTGGGTTGCTTTCCAGGAATTGTTGTTTCAGGGCCTCTTCTTTAAACTCTTTTAGAGTTTTCATTGACTTGTTAAGCTATGAGACGATGAGAGTAAAATATACTGTTAGTATAATATAAGTAACATCAACAATGTAACATTGCTAAGCTATCTGTAATACATGTAACATAATTACTGCAGTATAAACAAAAATTGAAGGACCCTTTTCCACGCTTTTAGGCGTATAGGGCATATAGGGCTAGCCTATATTTTATAGACGATCGGCACAAGATGGGTGATGTGGTCAGCATCACACCGACCACCTTCACATCCCTGGACTGTACCTGGTACCCACTCAGGGCTGGGTCAACCTGGAAGCCAATGTCATTTTTGAAAAAAGATCGGCTTCGCCAGCAAACGAACCCACGACCTCCTGATCTGCTGCGAACGTCAAGTCGCTCGGCTACGGCGACTCCCTTTGTACAGTATACTAATCTTTATGAGCAGGGTTTGCACACAGTTAGCAACATCACGTGCTGGTCAGATGGTCTGTATTCAAACCTCTAAAAAAATGTAGAGATAACAAGTAAGGTGATTAAATAAGGTGTAGTGATCCGAAGTTTTACCGTAGCCATTGAAGTTTTAACGTCTGAACATACATAACTACTTGGCAACAGCAATAGCCATGCGATTCTCAATTCTCAGTCTCAACGAACTTCCTGCCTTCTTCTTCTTCTTTTTCAGCATTCCGAGCCCTTGAGGTTCATTGCTGCAGATATCACCCGCCTCCATTCATCTGTCTGGTTGGCCTTCTCTTTCCAGTTGGTAACACCAAGTGTTTGCAGGTCTGTCTGGATATTATCTCTCCATCGTGTTCTTGGTCTCCCTCGTGGTCTACGACAATTCATCTCCCTCGTGGTCTACGACCATTTATCTCCCTGGTGTATACAGTTTTTACTTCTCTGTCATCTGACATTCTTTCAATGTGCCCCAACCATTTCAGCCTATTAGCTCTCATGATGCCAGACCTCCCTGCCTACACAGCAAAAAGGGTAAATACTGGCAATGTTCTTCTTCTGCCTTTCTAGCACCCCAATGGAGCATAGGCCTTCAACCAGCTCATGCTAAACCAACGAAGCTAGCAGCCAGAACGTACAACATGAAAATCGAAACACCAAGGGACAAGGGAAGACCGGAAAGTCCTTCTAATTCCCTCTATTCTGCGCAGGCACCAGTTAATGAATGTTGGTAGTTTACTAGTAATTAGTTGTTCCTCGTGTTTCCGCTCCATACAACAGTTATGATTTAACATTATTGCTATGAAAGCTTCTCTTGAAATACAGTCGTTAAACGGGCATTAATTGTAAAGTAAGAATAGACTGGGCGCTGTTATACTGCTCCGAGCGACTCCGTTTTTTACTGAGTGAATGACTGACTGTTGTTTAACGCCAATCAATCATTGGTACAGGACATTTGAACTGATTTGATTTGATTCAAGAACCGACATCACAGCATTCGGGGCATTCCCATAAGCGCTCCGTCCCCATCTTCAGCAGCCAGCAAAGAGTTCCGATACTAATGGTGCCAGTAGCATTCTGATTAAACGTCCGTCTTGCCTTTCCTCTAAGCATCGAGCATCTGCCAGAACCTCTCGTCACTCCCCGCTGCATTAATCACACCAGACTGTGGTGATCCATCTGCTCCTCCGAACTGTACACGTTCTCCCACAAGGCACTAACCACGTCTGCCTTATCATGTATCAGTATTCCACAAAGTTGTGCAGAGCCAGCCAGTCTGTCCGCCTGTTTATTTCCGAACACACCGGCGTCCCCGGTGAAAAAATCCAGACAATACTCCTCACCCGTGTACAGGACATCTCTGATCCAAGAATATATGTTGTAACTCCTGCTTATAGAACTGGAATTTTCTGCTCCGCTCCATTTTCACAGTGTGGAAAATACTGGAATCAGCTACCATCATTTAAATTTATGTTTAGGAGAAAGTTTAACCTTATTGGTAATAAATGATTATTTCTTACTTTATTTTTAAAATTAAATAGTCTCTACGAATATAATCTGTTACACAGTATTCATATTTGTGCCAACAGAATTAACACAATGTTTTCATTTCTTCTGCTGTTTTTCTTCTTTTTTGATCCACTACTCCTTTGCTTATATTGAATGCTATTGATCCACATAAGTCTCCTACTTACACCCCTCTCCCTAAACCATTTCAATCCCTCGGCCTCGCCTCCCCCAAATGTGACCGAGGCAGCAACCACCCTTTAGACCCCCCTCCCACCTACACAACGCACGGCAGCGCTCCTTTTAGAAGACACTGTCTTGGCGCTGGTGAAGGTTAGTTGCGTATCATTTACAGGACGTTGCAGAACCAACCCCAGCAACCACTGGCTGTTGTGTGGTTTATCTAGGCAAATTTACGTCCAGTAGTTTCCCATTGCTACTGGACGGTAGGCTCTCTGATACCACTGTCAAAACCAACGCAAGGCGCATGGCCTGAAGCTGGGATCGAACCTGCACCCCGGCATTACGAAGCGTTCGCATCGACTTAGCCACAGAGCCGACTTTGGAGTTGGAGCATTTTATATTTTGTCATTTGGGGATGCTAAATACATGAGTGCAGTACATACATGAATGCAGTAAATACATGAATGCAGTAAATACATGAATGTAGTAAATACATGGTTATGTGGCTTAGAGGTATTATTCTGAAGTATGGCTCAGACGTGTTACACAGGGGTATAGCATTGATTATATAGCTTAGAGATATGGCTTAGAGTTATGATTTAAATATATAGCATAGAGATATGGATTAGAGTTATGACTTACAGATAAAGCACATAGATATGGATTCGAGTTGTGACTTAAAGATATAGCATAGAGATATGGGTTAGAGTTATGACCTAAATATATAGCATAGAAAGAAAGATTAGAGTTATGACAGAGGCATAGCATAGAAACGTGGTTTAGAGTTGTACTTAAAGATATAGCATAGAGATATGGCTCAGAGGTATGACTTTAAAATGTAGCACAGATAAATGGCTTAGAGTTATGACTTAAAGCTAAAGCATAGAGATATGGATTAGAGTTATGACTTCGAGGTATAGCATAGAGATTTGGTTTAGAGTTATGACTTGGAGGTGTGGACTTGAGTATGGCTCCTGTATAGAATAATGACTGCTTTCATTGTCGTGTTTCTGAAACTACGTAGCGTGAGGGATTAGGCAGAAAGAGGAAGAGGCAGAGAATAGAAGAAAGACAGAAGAAAAACGTAAGAAATCACTTTTTTTTCAGAAACAACATTCACATAGAAACCCTGATACCTTCTGGGTGCTGTCCTTCCGCTTGGTAATGTCCTCGCTCTTCCCTTCTAGTGTGTCCCTTATCGCCGTCAGCAATGGATATTTGACGCCCTGATTTCCGAAGTGGCCCGAGAAGTCGTCCGTGTCTATAGCCCACACCATGACACCAGCAAGTTTTCTCTTCTTGGCGTAGTTCACCTGGGGAGATTTCAGTCAATCAGTCAATCAGTCAGTCAATCAGGTGCCGCGTCCACAATGAAGACTGGCTTTGGTGGGGCTCCAGCATGCTCTTTATTTCACCACTGACGTGTCTTACTGCTGTTCGTCCATCTCTTGATGTTATCTTCTCACTTGTATCAATGTCTGCCTCTTGCCTTCAACTTTCCCTTTCCCTAAATATAGCTTAGGGGTTGAACGGGGTTTCTGGGACTTGCACCTGGGTGATTCTCATCCGAGTGGTGGCACTTTGTGTCACTGCGTGTTTATCGCACGCCACGCGGTCCTGTTGGGGTTGAGCATCAGTCAGTCAGTCAGTCAGTCACTACTGGGAGATTACTGTGTAAGTATTTTGTGTGTGTGTGTGTGAGTGTGTGTGTGTGTGTGTGTGTGTGTGCGTGTGTGGCAACCTTTACTATTTAAATAATGCTAACACAAATAATACATTGCAGTGGCGCGTTGATTTATGTCACAGGCGTGAGGGGAAGTTAAGTCCAACATGATGTGTATAAGGAGATACTCCGTACGTCACTCGGGCGCCAGTCCTTTACTATCCTGGTTGTACGGAACCTCACGCAAGACCCCTACAGCACGTCCTCGTCGTGCGCCACGGATAATGTCTCAAATGAGCATTAACAGAGCTGTCAGGGGATCTCGGAGTTCGGCGGCCCCCAGAGGTGAGGTGTCCTTGTGGCTCTCATCAGCCCGCCTCCAAACGCTTGGGTGAAAAATGTTATCAAAACTCATTAGGAACATGAGTAGGTTTGCCAAACGTACAGCCAAAATTACAACCCTTGGTTAAAAGACTGCGGAGTAAAGAGAACAATGTTCACTGCACATCCTCTGTTAACCCTCAGTGTCGTCGTCACCGCGCTGAGGTACTCCACAACAGCAACCATCCATAGGCTGGCCATCCTTGTACATCCTCGGTTAACCCTCAGTGTCGTCGTCACCGCGCTGAGGTTCACCACAACAGCAGCCATCCATCGGATGGCTAAGCCTAAATGTCCGACAAAACTAGATCATACGGATCAAAATCTGACCATCAAAATTTGTATTGAACTGAAAAAGACCGAATGTCCACACCCAAAGACCCCACTCGCCCGAGTGTTGAGACAAAACTGATAACGATATGCCGGATGCAGGATGTAAAATTCTGTCGAGCTAACGGCTCGTCAAAGAAATCTAACGTGCGAGGAAAAAAAAAAAAAAAAGAATGTACCTATCTGTGTGGTCACAAAAGTCCAAAACCCACGGGCTGCTCCCCGCTGACTTCCAGAGGGCGCAGCCCCTGTCGAGCGGGAGGCCTGATACGGTTGTGAGGTTAAGCAGGCATGTGCAGGACGTGACGATTCCTTGGGTGAGCCCAGAACCAGAGCGCCATGTGCCGGCTCTGCATGCATGGAAGCCTCCTTGGATGGCGGGGAATGCCCATGATCTGCCCCTGCCTTCCCTTGAAGGCTAACTGTTCCACAGGGGGCTGCCCCAAAGGGGTACTCCGGGGGCAATACCTGCTGCGAAGGAGACAAAGTGGACACCACAAAAGTCAGGCAACGTCTCGACCCACACAAAACAATGGCCACAGTCACCCTAGAAATAGGCCTGACGTCTTCCTTCGAAGTCGGAGTACAGCTGCCCAGGAGGCAGAAAAATGAAAAACGGTTGTACACGCAAAAATCAGGTCCAGGTGAAAGCCAAAAGTCCAAGCGGACGATTATCCTGGACCTTCCACTGGAATTCACAGCCGGTGATCGATTAAAAAAAAAAAAAAAATACATTGCACAGTCTATTGCCAGGCATATTTCTCTGTGTCTTGTCAGGGGCGTTACTACGGAGTCAAACCAACAAATAATGCAGCACAAATTGAATAATTTTCTTGCTGAAATGCATAAACTACATTGTCGAACTGCTGTACATCTATCCGCCAGAAGTAGAAAAATCAGTCACATGATTACCATGGTAACTTCCAATTGATCACGTGATCTTTCTGTTTTCAAAACATGGGTGAGCTTAGTTTATTGAGACAACCTGGATCACGTTTAGCAAACGTCTGTTTAATGTTTGGTGAATAATCCTGAAAGCTCAGTCTTTATCAACTACATTTCCAAAGTCAAACAAATGACTTCCTGTCATTAGGATTAGGTTCTCGCTTATTGACTGATCTAAGAGAGAACCCAATCCTTCTATAGGGCATCATTTGCTTGATTACATCTATACTCCACTTCTGCTTCAATTTTCTCATTAGATGTTAACATGCTTGGATTTCAGCAAACGGTCAGAAAATGTTTCACCACTTCAGTTCTCACACACTTATATCAGAAGAAACAACTGACTCTCATCTTGCCTCTAACACATCCAACACAGAAAGTCAAGGCAGCACAGTAGTTAACTGCCTTCTGGTCGACTTGAAGAAATTGGGTTCCAATCTGAACCAAAATTGGTTATTTTAGTAATTTACTTTAGACCCCAGGTCGCGCTAGTCTAAATGTGTACCAGGAAGTTTCATGTAAAATAAAAACAACCAACATTATATTCACCAGATCCCATATTGGATCATCGTCGTCTTCTTCACTTCCTCTTTTCACCGTTTAGGGTATCGAGGGAGATAAAAGATTCGTCGTGTTCCTTTTCTGGCCGCCCTCGACCGTAGACAAATCGTATTGTTAACGAGTTTCTCTGATGCTCTCTTTCCATATCGTTCTTTGTCTCCCTTGATCTACACCCTACCCCTTCTTTAGTGTATGCCTGAAATGGTGTGGCGTAGCGAAGCATTCTTCCTAAGTGAGCAGAATCATGCATTGTAGCAATTTGAATTTACAGCATGCCCCGATTCCAGGATCTTCGTGGCCAAGTGGTCAAGCCGGTTGCCTCCCGCTCTAAAAGTCGTTGGTTCGTTTCACGGCTACGTCGTTCGGTTCACGAGGGCAGTTTTACAGAGATTAATGGGGATCTTCACCGGAGCTAAGGGTTTAATGCTTTGTGCGACGGTCTCGAGAGTGGCCACTCGTTCTGCGGACAGAGACCAAGAAATAAAGAATAACATTCGGTGCAATAAAGTCAGTCCTGTCGACTTCAACTTCCATGCCCGAAGTATTACTGGTTTCATTTAGGTGTCGTTTACTTTTTTCCTAGCGCTCTCTCTCTCTTTCTTTCTCTCTCTCTCTCTCTTTCTCTCTCTCTCTCTCTCTCACTCACTCACTTACTCACTCACTCACTCTGTTACCTATCCCAGGATTGAAGACAATGCACTCTCTCACCTTTGCTCGAACACTCTCCTCGTCATCGTACCCGATCCATAACCTGTCCTTCAGACTGACTGCGTAAGGCACCAGCTCGTCCTCCATCCAATGTCTCACAAGGGAGCCCTCCTTGAGTCTCTTCAGGATCTGTAGACAAGTGTAATCAGGGAACACGAGAGATACGATGCTGGAGTTTCTTGAAACATTGTGTAATCAGGGAACACGAGAGATAAGATGCTGGAGTTTCTTGAAACACTGTGTAATCAGGGAACACGAGAGATAAGATGCTGGAGTTTCTTGAAACACTGTATAATCAGGGAACACGAGAGATAAGATGCTGGAGTTTCTTGAAACACTGTGTAATCAGGGAACACGAGAGATAAGATGCTGGAGTTTCTTGAAACACTGTGTAATCAGGGAACACGAGAGATAAGATGCTGGAGTTTCTTTAAACACTGTGTAATCACGAAGCGTGCGATATGAGTGGCTGCTTTGTTTTAACTCACTGTATAATTAGGGAACATGAGATATGAGAGGCTGATCCTTATCTATGTGTATCTATGTGATCTAAGATCTGTGTGAGCAGAACTTATCGACGCCTGGAGAAACGAGTCGCTGAGCACATACCAGTAAAGCACATTCCAGTAAGGGTGGAAAAAGTCATGCAAAACAATATTAAAAATGAGAATAACGGCCGAAAAGATCATCCATCCGCAACAGTCCGCCATCTTTTAAAATCCGGACATACCGTAACCAAGGACAACTTTTTTTCGAATCTTTCACACGTCAGCCAGTTTCAGAACGCTAAGAATTCCTGAAGCTGCCGCGATTCTTCACCTGCGCTGTAAACACTGTATACAGAAAGACATTAAGGCTGCCCTGGTTAAAATAGGTAGTTGTGTTTCATCGTTGTTGAATTTGTAGTTCACTAATAAAGAATTCACTTATCTACTTCATTTATGTAATTGTTACTGTAGTATGCACCTGGGGAGATACAGCAAAATATGCCAGGCAATAAATTCTGCAATTTATTGTTGATGTTTTCTTTGTTCAAATTAACTCACTGTATAATCAGGGGAACATGGGAGATGAGAGGCTGAATTAGGTTAACTTATTGTATAATCAGTGACCATGGGAGATAAGAGGCTGAATTATGTTAACTTATTGTATAATCAGGGATCATGGGAGATGAGAGGCTGAATTATGTTAACTTATTGTATAATCAGGGAACATGGGAGATAAGAGGCTGAATTAGGTTAACTTATTGTATAATCAGGGAACATGGGAGGTGAGAGGCTGAATTATGTTAACTTATTGTATAATCAGGGAACATGGGAGATGAGAGTCTGAATTATGTTAACTTATTGTATAATCAGGGAACATGGGAGATGAGAGGCTGAATTATGTTAACTTATTGTATAATCAGGGGACATGGAAGATAAGAGTCTGAATTATGTTAACTTATTGTATAATCAGGGAACATGGGAGATGAGAGGCTGAATTATGTTAACTTATTGTATAATCAGGGAACATGGGAGATGAGAGTCTGAATTATGTTAACTTTTTGTATAATCAGGGAACATGGGAGATGAGAGGCTGAATTATGTTAACTTATTGTATAATCAGTGAACATGGGAGAATAGAGTCTGAATTATGTTAACTTATTGTATAATCAGGGAACATGGGAGATGAGAGGCTGAATTATGTTAACTCTTTGTATAATCAGGGAACATGGGAGATGAGAGGCTGAATTATGTTAACTCATTGTATAATCAGGGAACATGGGAGATGAGAGGCTGAATTATGTTAACTCTTTGTATAATCAGGAAACATGGGAGATGAGAGGCTGAATTATGTTAACTTATTGTATAATCAGGGAACATGGGAGATGAGAGGCTGAATTATGTTAACTCATTGTATAATCAGGGAACATGGGAGATGAGAGGCTGAATTATGTTAACTTATTGAATAATCAGGGAACATGGGAGATGAGAGTCTGAATTATGTTAACTCTTTGTATAATCAGGAAACATGGGAGATGAGAGGCTGAATTATGTTAACTCATTGTATAATCAGGGAACATGGGAGATGAGAGGCTGAATTATGTTAACTTATTGTATAATCAGGGAACATGGGAGATGAGAGTCTGAATTATGTTAACTCTTTGTATAATCAGGAAACATGGGAGATGAGAGGCTGAATTATGTTAACTCATTGTATAATCAGGGAACATGGGAGATGAGAGGCTGAATTATGTTAACTCATTGTATAATCAGGAAACATGGGAGATGAGAGGCTGAATTATGTTAACTCATTGTATAATCAGGGAACATGGGAGATGAGAGGCTGAATTATGTTAACTCATTGTATAATCAGGAAACATGGGAGATGAGAGGCTGAATTATGTTAACTCATTGTATAATCAGGAAACATGGGAGATGAGAGGCTGAATTATGTTAACTCATTGTATAATCAGGGAACATGGGAGATGAGAGGCTGAATTATGTTAACTCATTGTATAATCAGGAAACATGGGAGATGAGAGGCTGAATTATGTTAACTCATTGTATAATCAGGGAACATGGGAGATGAGAGGCTGAATTATGTTAACTCATTGTATAATCAGGAAACATGGGAGATGAGAGGCTGAATTATGTTAACTCATTGTATAATCAGGAAACATAGGAGATGAGAGGCTGAATTATGTTAACTCATTGTATAATCAGGGAACATGTGAGATGAGAGGCTGAATTATGTTAACTCATTGTATAATCAGGGAACATGGGAGATGAGATGTATGATTGTCTTAGTGTCTCTGTAATCAAGGAACATGAGAAATATTATATCACCCACAGCTAAACTTATAACTAAAAGATGCTTATTGTTTTAGTAACGTAGTGGTTGCACGTACGTATTTTGCTTCCTCTCATCCGTTCTTTCTTGTCGGGTCTATAAAAGACAAGGAGCCTTTTCCTCGCCTTCATGCGTTTTGGGCATATAGGGCTAGACCTATATTTTAGAGACTAATTGGCACAAGGTGGGTGATGTGGTCACCATTACACCGGCCGCATTTTCTTCCCAGAACTATACCTGGTACCCCTCAGTGCTGGTCGACCAGGGAGCCAAAAATAATTTTTGAAAAAAGTTCCACTCAGTCTGTCGGGTCTATAGTTAGTTGCTCATTTTTTCATGGCGTTGCAGAACCAACCCCAGCCTTTTTTTGGCTGTTGTGGTTTTTCTAGGCAAATTTACGTCCAGTAGTTTGCCATTGCTTTCTGGGCGGTCGGCTTCTCGATACCACTGTCGAAACCAACGCAAGGCGCAGGGCCCGCAGTTGGAATCGAACCCAGGACCCCATCATTACAAAGAGCGTTTGCAACGCATAAGCCACATACGCCGATGTCGGGTCTATACTCAAAAACAATTAAATAAATATTAAATGAATGCAGAAGAATATAACTTAACTCAGCCTACCTCGTAATAGTTCATGGTGTCCGGATTGGCAGCGCCGCAACTCTTATCTCCTGGCGAATGACCTTTCTCGCAGAGTTTGAACGTCTTGCCGTAAAGTGGAAGTCCCAGAACGATCTTCTCGGGCTGGGCGCCCATTTCTGTGTAGAGATCCACCGTCTTTTCCTGTGCCAAATCAAGAGTTTAGATCAATGGGTTTTTCTGTGAAAAAACAGCTTCTTGTTGTGTTCAACAACGCAACTACTGGCACACTTGAATTGTATTCAAGTTGGAGACGAATGTCCTACCATTAAGCAACTCTCCCTCGCTCGCTCAATCTCTGTCTGATTCTGTCTCTGTCTGTCTGTCTCTCTTACACAGACACACACTCACAGTCTTATGACGTCTTTCTATTTCACTAACACTCTCTTTATTTCACTATCTCCCCTTCCTCAGAATTTGGCTAATCAGTAAAAATTTGGTTGCTATGTGAACAAATGAACGACCGAAATCAGATCTGAGGGATGATTGAACAGGTGAGAGGGTGGTAGCAGCCTAAGGTGCAGTTAGGGACAAAGTCCAAACATACGGCATCGGTGGAGAGAGAGGTGAAGTAGGGAACGGTTACATTCAGTTTTCTTTATTTGCAAAGACATTAAACGACTTCCTAATTACGCACTACAGTGTCTCTAAAAGAAGCCCCCACAATAGGGCGATGGCTAAGGCAAATTTTTAAAAACTCCTCATACCACACTCTTCCCCCTACCTTTCCGGTATGGATGTTGAATACCCTTGGTTGCCATGGGCGCCAAATGCCCTTTAGTGCCATGGGCGCCTAACACCATAAGTTACCATAGGCGCCAAATGCCACTTGTTGCCATGGACGTCAAATACCCTTGTTTGCCATGGGCGCCAAATGCCTTTTGTTGCCATGGGCGCCAAATGCCTTTTGTTGCCATGGGTGCCAAATGCCTTTTGTTGCCATGGGCACCAAATATCACAGGTTACCATGGGCGCTAAATATCACAGTTTGCGATGGGCACCAAATAGCCTTTGTTGCCATGGGCACCAAATACCCTTGGTAGCCATAGGCGCCAAATACTAAAGGTTGCTATGCGCGTCAATTTCCCATTGTTGTCATGGCTGGTGCCAAATACTATTAAGTTGCCATGGCCGGCAAATACCCCTGTTTGCCAGGGGCTCCAAATACCCTTGATTGCCATGAGCGCCAAATACCCTTGGTTCTCACTGGCGCCAAATAACCTAGTTACGCCTTCCTAGGCGCCATGTGGTTGATTTCCCCACACACAATTTTCTGTAACCATATGTGGCGAAACGGGCAATTTAATCTACTCAATACATAAATGGTCGAGTTAGCTCATCGGTTAAATGGTTGACCGAATAAATAATTGTCTGTGAGGCAAATGTATGGATACACCGATAAATTTGTGCGTGGGGGTTGTTATTGCTGAGCAGATGAATAAGTAAACTGCTCAGTGAATAAGTTGAATGCAGGATTTAATAAATTACTTATTAAACGATCACATGACAAAAATTTAAACGAGACATACCACATTTGTAGCATCAGTCTTGGAGTCAAACCATTTGTCTCCCCCAAACAGCGGAGAGTGGTGGCCGATGACAGGGCTCCAGGAACCATGGAGATCGTAGCTCATCAGGTTAAAGAAATCCACGTATCTGTTGCGTTTAGATTGATACAAGTATTTTAAAAGAATAAAAAAATTTTTTTCCAAAGCACAAAAAGAAAGCCTATATATTACTATTTTTTTTTTTTTTTAGTGTAGTAAATAAAATGTACCAAAATCGGCTCAATCAAAAAGGGAGAGAAACTGGCTCACTACCGACTGGGATCCGTCAGTGAGAACGATGGTGAGATATCCAGCTGTATAGTTTACCTTCTTGGTGCAAGTGGCTTTTAGATGGTTACGTTAGCTACACGAGAGAGAGAGAGAGAGAGAGAGAGAGAGAGAGAGAGAGAGAGAGAGAGAGAGAGAGAGATAGAGAGAGAGAGAGAGTGAATGATGGATGGATTGGGGAGGCAGAGAGAGAGAGAGAGAGAGAGAGGAGAGAGAGAGAGAGAGAGAGAGAGAGAGAGAGAGAGAGAGAAAGTCAAATGTAATACACTGTGATCTAATGATTCAAGGAGCCAACACTTTCCAAAGACAGAACAGCAACTAAGAGAATACACAAAAAGTTAATCCACTGGTGGGCGGGGCCAGACCATAGATAACATGGGAGTAAAGCATGGAAGCACGTCTATGCCACACTGAAGGCCGAGACAGGAGACATTATAACCAGCTTCTCATGGGAACAATCAGTAGAAGTATCTTGGAGTGGCTGCTGTATCGGAGGACTGAGCACGCATGGAAATGCCCAGTGTGCAGTGACGTTGATTGTGACAACATAACATTACATAGATAATATCAAGAAAACACTGAGCCTAAACATACGCAGAAAGGAGATGGTTCTGATAATCTGAACCTCCTTTTGTGCTCACTCCCTCAAAGAGCTTTTATTTAAAAGAAATTACGACTGCGACCTTGAACTACATCAAGAAACGGAAGTCGACTCAGAGGAAACAAATATGGCGTAGGGCGAGCGTTAAAACCGAAGCACTGTTTATTTTGTGTGTCGCTTTGTCGTTTTCACCTGTTTCGGTTTTTATAACGACGGTTGGAATGTCATTGCATCATGAGAGCGAGCTTGTGTACTCAGCTTCGTATGGTTAACCGGTACTTATCACAAACCTGCCCGCACGGCGAGATTTACTTCCGTTCCCATTCATCCGTCTTATGCTGTGGGGGTGCCATGTATTTCTTCTTATTATTTTTTTTTTAAAAACGGTTTAACTGTTCTCTGTTTTCTCGTGTTGTCACCGCTTTCTTGTGTGATTATTTCCCCATTGTGTTACCTTTCGACGGTTTGTGCGTATCGAAACTGGGTTGTTTTTGTATTTCTACGCTCTTTGTCAGTGACTTTATTTTCTTGGAAAGGGGTGGGGTGGGGGGGGGGGGGGGAAGCCACCGCCAAGGAAAGTAGAAATGCAAAAACATCCAAGTTTCGATACTCACGAACAATCGAACAATCGTGACTTCGGCGCTTACCTCTGTAGTACTTATTATTTGTACGCAGGAGCCTCGATCGAACATGCAATTTTGTGTGAAAGTCTTCAAAGAATGTGATATTGAGTCAGGTGGATTGAGGAGACTAGTTGATAGGAATTAATATTTATCTCGATAGCAGATATTCAGGTGGTGTTCGAGACTAGGAATTGATTTGTAATGGAATAAAGGTGAAGATAAGACAGGGCCGTCCAATTTCAGTTTTCAATGATCAGCTGACTAATAATCAGAGAACGGAAACACGAAAATAGTAAGTTTGACTGTTTGGATACTGACAGATAAAGTTGATGTTGAATTTGGTCAATATTTACTCATAAATTTATCCCATGAATTCAGCTGTTTCAGGAGCACTTTCTCCTGATCAAAACATAATTTAATCTTCACTCTTTGCTCGACGTTGCATACGTAACCACATAACTCTCATTCGCTTAACAAAATGCGGGGTGGTGTGTGTGTGTGTGTGTGTGTGTGTGTGTGTGTGTGTGTGTGTGTGTGTGTCCGCTGACCGGGCAGGGTTACAATTTTGTCAAAGTATCAATAAATGTTGCTTGTTTAGATGACTTTTTTGGCTTCTTTAATGAGGGCACTTATTTGACCATAATAAAATCACTCTTTTTATGTAACTGTCAGACTGCGACTATATATATATATATATATATATATATATATATATATATATATATATATATATATATATATATATATATATATATATATATGCTGATTTGTCAATATGTTTGTCCATTCATGCGTCTGTTGATTTGACAAAAAATGAATTACTTGTTTAAACTCTTGACGTCATATCCGGACTCCACAGTTCGGGGACCGCCAGGTACTGCCATGGTCAGCAACAGCCGCTCCTTGCCAGTTTTAGATGCCTCCAGATCAAAAGCTTGGCGAAGTTCCTGCACACGAAATCAGTCTGTCTAATAATCGACAATGGTGTTAAATATTCACCAACCCTTCCTCTCCCCAACCCCTTCGCCCCCACCCCCCGCACACAAAAAAGCATGTTGTAGAAGTAGATTAATTAGAAACGATTATTTCGACCTCGGAGTTCACTCTCCTGAGAGGGGAAGAACCATCACTCTGCATACATATAAGCAAGATCTGTAAAACGTACATGCACGCAAAGCTCAGATTCTTGAACAAGACTAAAGTCCAGAAGTAGACGAACAACCAGAATTTTCTCTAAAAATACCTCTGCAAAACAACAGAATGCTGAGATTAGCCCAAGCTTCAAGGATATTTATGAGCAAACCCCTCTTGTGTAAACAAAAGGAGTTCATTATACATTTGAAGTTATACCGGTAAGTCACATGACTATTATAAACGTCTGGCGATTACACGAACAATGTTTCGAGAGAGACCATTTCTGTTTCAGCAGAATTAATTCAGTTCCTGTCCTTTCTATATATTGTTGTAACACTGTAGTAATGCAGTCTTACAACGCAGTCAATAACATTTTGTTCCTACAAATCTACATCAATACACGTATTATTCATGTCCCGCTTGAAATCATCTTTATATCGTAGTAAACTCCGATCTCAACATAGTCTATCCTCGAACGGCTCCAGCTGACGGGAGGTGCTACTGACGTCACCGGGTCAGGCTAACGATGCATTACTGCAGTGGTTAATAAACTTGGCGTCGAGGCACCCAGGGGTGCCTTGAGAGTATGCCAGGAGTGCGGCGGCAATAATCAAGAACGGTCGGCTAAAAATTGTAAGAAAAATGGTACTTAATACTTAAAAATTAAAATTGAAGTTGTCTTCTCTCGCCACTGTCGAGAATAGTTTATTTCTTGTTTGAGAACCGCTGCGTGAAGACATCTTTAGCCCCACCCTGTGACGTCAGCAGCACCCCTTGTCAGATGGAGCCAGTCATGGTCTTCCCCATAATGGACCCCATAATAACCAATGAACTCACACCGACACAGTCGACTCCACAGCACACATGAGCCATACCTTGGACAGGTGCACGAATCTCTGTTTATCTTCTGGAGGACTGCCCCTGTTAGCCGGGTACTCCCAGTCTAAGTCAAGACCGTCGAATTCATGAGTCCGAAGGTACTCCACTGCATACTGGATGAATGATTTTCTTCTGGCTTCCGTGCTGACCATGTCTGGAATAGTAGATACGGTGGTCATTTTATATCTTCCTATGTGTCTCTTTTTCTGTCTGATTGAGGATATTTCTGCTTTCTTTCTTTCTTTCTTTCTTTCTTTCTTTCTTTCTTTCTTTCTTTCTTTCTTTCTTTCTTTCTTTCTTTCTTTCTTTCTTTCTTTCTTTCTTTCTTTCTTTCTTTCTTTCTTTCTTTCTTTCTTTCTTTCTTTCTTTCTTTCTTTCTTTCTTTCTTCTTCTTTCTTTTTCTTTTTCTTTCTTTCTTTCTTTCTTTCTTTCTTTCTTTCTTTCTTTTTTCTTTCTTTCTTTCTTTCTTTCTTTCTTTCTTTCTTTCTTTCTTTCTTTCTTTCTTTTCTTTCTTTCTTTCTTTCTTTCTTTCTTATCTTCTTTCTTTCTTTCTTTCTTTCTTTCTTTCTTTCTTCTTTCTTTCTTTCTTTCTTTCTTTCTTTCTTTCTTTCTTTCTTTCTTTCTTTCTTTCTTTCTTTTCTTTCTTTCTTTCTTTCTTTCTTTCTTTTCTTTCTTTCTTTCTTTCTTTCTTTCTTTCTTTCTTTCTTTCTTTCGTTATCTAATCTCTTATTTTGTTTTCTAAGACTGTATACCTATTTTCTTTCTTTTTCTTATCCTTTGCTCATTCTTTTATTCTGTCTGTCTTTTTTTCTTATACGTCACACATGTCACAGTATCTAATTTCTTTCTTTCTTTCTTTCTTTCTTTCTTTCTTTCTTTCTTTCTTTCTTTCTTTCTTTCTTTCTTTCTTTCTTTCTTTCTTTCTTTCTTTCTTTCTTTCTCTTTCTTTCTTTCTTTCTTTCTTTTTCTTTCTTTCTTTCTTTTCTTTCTTTCTTTCTTTCTTTCTTTCTTTCTTTCTTTCTTTCTTTCTTTCTTTCTTTCTTTCTTTCTTTCTTTCTTTCTTTCTTTCTTTCTTTCTTTCTTTCTTTCTTTCTTTCTTTCTTTCTTTCTTTCTTTCTTTCTTTCTTTCTTTCTTTCTTTCTTTCTTTCTTTCTTTCTGTCTGTCTGTCTGTCTGTCTGTCTGTCTGTCTGTCTGTCTGTCTGTCTGTCTGTCTGTCTTTCTTTCTTTCTTTCTTTCTTTCTTTCTTTCTTTCTTTCTTTCTTTCTTTCTTTCTTTCTTTCTTTCTTTCTTTCTTTCTTTCTTTCTTTCTTTCTTTCTTTCTTTCTTTCTTTCTTCCTTTAAATTTTCCTTTACTATTCTTTCTGTGATTTTCTCTTCATTGCTGTAACTAAGCAATCGTCAAATGAACTAGCTATGCACTGCGCTTAACGGGTATTCACCTGTGAACGGCTGAGATCCATGGGTCCAGCCTCCAACTGCCAGTAGCGTCTTCAGGGCGGGGTTTTTCTTCTTCAAAGAGTTGAACTGTTTGTATAAAACTGAAATCATGAAATCGTGTTAGAAAACAAATATAATTAAAACCAGTGACCCAAGAAAACACACGAAGAACAATTAGTAATAAACTACAAACGTTCATTAAGTGGTGCACGCAAAAAAGGGGGGGGGGGGGGAGGGGGGGGGGGTCAATTAAAGGGTATGATAGAATCGCTGATGTTGAGTTTTGGGAGAGAGCTGAACTAATTCCAGTGAATAAAGATGCTGTCATTGGATGGACACAGGCACATGTTGAGAGAACTTGAGAATTATATAACTATAAAGGCAATACACTGATGCCTACATACACCCCCCCCCCCCCAACAAAAAACGTAAAAAGTCACACACATAAGTAGAAGGGAAAAGATGGTAAAAGTAATGTTAGTCTTTCCAGATCCCGCTCTTATACACACTAGCTCACTTCTGATTTGTAGTTCCTGAGCGCCGTGCCCTTCGCACAAGTTTACGGGGGTGTTCCGCAATAACGTTGATATCGGATGTTGTATATTTGAGCTCGCCACCGCTTTTAGCACTCCATAAGCATAAAGAAACTGGGTCTAACCCCCCCCCTCCCCCCCTCCCCCCCCCCCCCGAGAGTGCTGCAACCTATGTTACAGGCATTCTCTTTCTCGGAATGAAAACGTAAATGCAATACATCACAGAAACTAAACAACAGAGCAGAACACACCCGTAACTTTCAGGAAAGTCGACCAGCCTAACAAAAACTTGTTAATGAAAAGTGACCTACTCTATTTGAGGAGACTAACGTCAAACTATCCGAAAGGATAATTGAGTCAGAAAGAAAGGAATAACACAGGGTGAGCTGTAAGCCATAGCGAATGATAGGACGAGTCGTTTTAGGGGCTGTGATGCATTGGTCTGAGTACAGATCAGAAGAGGAAGAAGAGGAAGAAGAGGAAGAAGAGGAAGAAGCGGTACAATTGGAGTGAAGCATCATATGCCTCATGCGGTATTGACTTAAAAGGGATCTTTTCAGTTTAAGTTTCTGGTAGTAGCAGTATTTTTATTGGGTGAGGTGGTAGTGGTGGTGGTAGTAGAAGTAGTAGTAGTCGTAGTAGTAGTACCAGTAGTAGTAGTAGTGGTATAGTAGTATTATTAGTTGATGTTGTTGTTGTTGTAGTATAAGTTGTCCTCGTAGTATTGGAAGTGCTAGTAGCCGCTATTATGGGAGTGTGAGTAGTAGTGGTAACATCAGTAGCATCAACAGAATGCTGAATGTTGAATTAAGAATCGACATCACAGCGCTCGGGACACTCATATAAGTGCTCAGGCTTTATCTTCAGCAGCAAGCGAAGAGTTCCAATTCCGATGGTACCAGTAACTGTCTGATTGTATATCCGTTTCATCATTCCCCGAATGTTGAGCGTCGGCCAGATCCCCTAGTAACTCCTCGCAGCGCCATTCTCCTTAGACCGTAATGATCTATCTGCGCCTCCGCACTGTCTACTCGCTCCCAATGAGTAACTTATCATACATCAGTTCACCACCAAGTGGCGCAGTGCCAGCCAGTTAGCATCAACAAAAGAGGCAGTTATAACAGTAATAATACACGTGATCGTTGTAACATCAGAATTGGCAGTGTCTGTAGTAGTAGTGGTGATAGTAGTACTACTTGAGCTGATGGTGGCAGTACTGGTGGTAGTAGTTGTAGTAATGCAGTGTACAAGCAGTAGCAGCAACAGTAGTAGTAGTATAAGTTCAATCATCAGGCATTGAACTCTAAAACTACAACACATGAAAAAGAAAGAAGCAACAAATCAAGGATCAAAAAAAAAAAAAAAAGGCAAAATGAGAACACTTTAGAGAGGAATAAGAAAGAACTGAAATGAAAAGAGCAGAAATAGAAGAAAGCTTAGATTTGCTTTCCAAGAGACTCACGAATAACATACTCAGAATTAAAAATATACCTTAAGGAAAAAAATTCCAGATCACCTTAAAGAGGAAATGCATAAACACCCAGCTGCGACCACCAAGACTTGGAATAGAGGCATAGTTCCTTGATTGAACGATCGTTGCACAGAAACAAAGGAAAAACCGGAATAAAATACGGACAACAGAAATCCAAAAAAAAAAAAAAAAATGATTATACGAATGAGAACCTTAGAAATAAAGCGAGATAATAGTCAAAGAGGCCAAGGAGGCACACTTAAAATTATGTTGTAAAAAACTAACACTAAATAGTCCAGCGAACGAGGTGTGGATTAAATAGAGGAGACCAAAAGAGATGTATGATTCTCACAATAACAATTACCTCATTAGCAATAGATGAACAATAGAAACCGATGATTAGGTTAGAGAGAGAGAGAGAGAGAGAGAGAGAGAGAGAGAGCGAGAGAGAGAGATGAGAGAGAGAGAGAGGGGGGGAGAGGGAGAGAGAGAGATGAGAGAGAGTTTAGAGAGAGAGAGATGAGAGAGAGATGATAGAGAGAGAGATGAGAGAGAGAGATGAGAGAGAGAGAGATGAGAGAGAGAAAATATAATGAGAGAGCTAAACATTTAGAGAGAGAGCAAGATGAGATAGAGAGTAGAGAAAAATAAATGACAAATCGCAAACATTTTAAATACAATAAGACAGGAATTTGATAGTCCTTTACTAAACGACGAGTAGAAAGAAGTGAGGAGGAAAGTGCTTCTTCTTCTTCTTCTTCTTCTTCTTCTTCTTCTTCTTCTTCTTCTTCTTCTTCTTCTTCTTCTTCTTCTTCTTCCTTCTTCTTCTTCTTCTTCTTCTTCTTCTTCTTCTTCTTTCTTCTTTCTTCTTCTTTTCTTCTTCTTCCTTCTTCTTCTTTCTTCTTCTTCTTTGGGATTAGGGAGAGGAGGCTCTTCTTCTCTTCTTCTTCTTCTTCTTCTTCTTCTTTCTTCTTCTTCTTCTCTTCTTCTTCTCTTCTTCTTCTTCTTCTTCTTCTTTCTCTTCTCTTCTTCTTCTTCTTCTTCTTCTTCTTCTTCTTCTTCTTCTTCTTCTTCTTTCTTCTTCTTCTTCTTCTTCTTCTTCTTCTTCTTTCTTCTTCTTCTTCTTCTTCTTCTTCTTCTTCTTCTTCTCTTCTTCTTCTTCTTCTTCTTTCTTCTTCTTCTTCTTCTTCTTCTTCTTCCTCTTCTTCTTCTTCTTCTTCTTCTTCTTCTTCTTCTTCTTCTTCTTCTTCTTTCTTCTTCTTCTTCTTCTTCTTCTTCTTCCTTCTTCTTCTTCTTCTTTCTTCTTCTTCTTCTTCTTCTTCTTCTTCTTCTTTCTTCTTCTTCTTCTTCTTCTTCCTTCTTCTTCTTCTTCTTTCTTCTTCTTCTTCTTTCTTCTTCTTCTTCTTCTTTCTTTCTTCTTCTTCTTCTTCTTTCTTCTTCTCTTCTTCTTCTTCTTCTTCTTCTTCTTCTTCTTCTTCTTCTTCCTTCTTCTTCTTCTTCTTCTTCTTCTTCTTCTTCTTCTTCTTCTTCTTCTTCTTCTTCTTCTTCTTCTTCTTCTTCTTCTTCTTTCTTCTTCTTCTTCTTCTTTCTTCTTCTTCTTCTTCTTCTTCTTCTTCCTTCTTCTTCTTCTTCTTCTTGTCTTCTTCTTCTTAGGTCTTCTTCTTCTTCTTCTTCTTCTTTCCTTCTTCTTCTCTCTTCTTCTTCTTTCTTCTTCTTCTTCTTCTTCTTCTTCTTCTTCTTCTTCTTCTTCTTCTTCTTCTTCTTCTTCTTCTTTCTTCTTCTTCTTCTTCTTCTTCTTCTTCTTCTTCTTCTTCTTCTTCTTCTTCTTCTTCTTTCTTCTTCTTCTTCTTCTTCTTCTTCTTCTCTTCTTCTTCTTTTCTTCTTCTTCCTTCTTCTTCTTCTTCTTCTTCTTCTTCTTCTTCTTCGTTTCTTCTTCTTCTTCTTCTTCTTTCTTCTTCTTCTTCTTCTTTCTTCTTCTTCTTCTTCTTCTTCTTCTTCTTCTTCTTCTTCTTCTTCTTCTCCTTCTTCTTCTTCTTCTTTCTTTCTTCTTCTTCTTCTTCTTTCTTCTTCTTCTTCTTCTTCTTCTTCTTCTTCTTCTTCTTCTTCTTCTTCTTCTTCTTCTTCTTCTTCTTCTTCTTTCTTCTTCTTCTTCTTCTTCTTCTTCTTCTTCTTCTTCTTCTTCTTTCTTCTTCTTCTTCTTCTTCTTCTTCTTCTTCTTCTTCTTCTTCTTCTTCTTCTTCTTCTTCTTCTTCTTCTTCTTCTTCTTCTTCTTCTTCTTCTTCTTCTTCTTCTTCTTCTTCTTCTTCTTCTTCTTCTTCTTCTTCTCCTTCTTCTTCTTCTTCTTTCTTCTTCGTCTTCTTCTTCTTCTTCTTCTTCTTCTTCTTCTTCTTTCTTCTTCTTCTTTTCTTCTTCTTCTTCTTCTTCTTCTTCTTCTTCTTCTCTCTTCTTCTTCTTCTTCTTCTTCTTCTTCTCTTTTCTCTTCTTCTTCTTCTTCTTCTTCTTCTTCTTCTTCTTCTTCTTCTTCTTCTTCTTCTTCTCTTCTTCTTTCTTCTTCTTCTTCTTCTTCTTCTTCTTCTTCTCTTCTTCTTCTTCTTCTTCTTCTTCTTCTTCTTCTTCTTCTTCTTTCTTCTTCTTCTTCTTCTTCTTTCTTCTTCTTCTTCTCTTCTTCTTCTTCTTCTTCTTCTTCTTCTTCTTCTTCTTCTTTCTTCTTCTTCTTCTTCTTCTTCTTCTTCTTCTTCTTCTTCTTCTTTCTTCTTCTTCTTCTTCTTCTTCTTCTTCTTCCTTCTTCTTCTTCTTCTTCTTGCTTCTTCTTCTTCTTCTTCTTCTTCTTCTTCTTCTTCTTCTTCTTCTTCTTCTTCTTCTTCTTCTTCTCTCTTCTTCTTCTTCTTCTTCTTTCTGACTTTCTTCTTCTTCTTCTTCTTCTTCTTCTTCTTCTTCTTTCTTCTTTCTTCTTTCTTCTTCTTCTTCTTCTTTCTTCTTCTTCTTCTTCTTCTTCTTCTTCTTCCCTTCTTCTTCTTCTTCTTCTTCTTCTTCTTCTTCTTCTTCTTCTTCTTCTTCTTCTTCTTCTTCTTCTTCTTCTTCTTCTTTCTTCTTCTTC